TAACACTATATAAATTTATAGTGTCCTGGGTAAGCATTCCAAGACCCCCAAAATGGAATCTGTCTTAGCTGACAACCTCTGTTGGATAAGATACAGGTAATGGGAAGAGAAACAGAAAGAGTATCTAACTGAAGACATTAGTTTGAGTTGCAGACATTTACTTACTGGCCTTGATACCAATGACCGTCTGCTTAATCTCTTCTTATAGCCTCGGCTTACTTCTTCAGATAACAGAAATGATAGGACCTGTTCTGTATATTTTATAGAGTTGTTAATATTAAATGAGATAACATGTTTAGAGTCCTAAGATTATGGGGTTTTTTTAGTTTTTTTTTTTTTTTAGGTTAAAAATGCAGAGCATGCTCATGGTAAACAAGAAGGAGGAGGAGGAAGGGAGAGAACAAACTACCAAATTAATAATATGAAAAAGGCAGCATGAGAATCATGCAGCTTTTTGTTAGAAAGTTTTAGAATAATAATAGTTCTCGTTATTAGCAGAAGTTATGGCAAGAACCAGATGACCGTGGACAAATCCCTTACTCACTGTTACAGTGTCTTAATCTATAAAATAAGAGATCCAAGCTAGTTTATTTTTTAACTTAAAGGCTATATTTGTATATTATTCTCCGAGGAAGTCACCAAAAATATTTTTTAAACTAAGTATAGCCCTATATTTTAGTAAAATGAACATGAAGATTAAAATATTGAAAAGAACATTAGGAAAATAAATGTTTTGTATTTTTCAATCAAATTTATTAAAATGAACATTTTTGAAACTAATATATATATCTCAGTTCCAAAAATACCCATGAATTTATCTAATGAATAGACAAAGGCAAACTTACAAGGAAGTCAGAATTCTGATCTTATTGCTACATTAGCTAATAAGGAATCATTAGAATAATGATTGGGTTAGTGAAATTATTTTGTTCAAATAAATTACATGAATAAATAATTGTATGAATAATGACCCAAAGCAGTACTATTGAAACAATTCCTCTGATTAGGTAAATAGAGTTTGAATTAATAATATTAATTGTTCATCTTGTGTTGATTCAACAAACATCTTTTGGGCACCAGTTATATTAGAGACACTAGGCTGGCTAGTAGAACTACAAAGACTAAGTCAAAATTCACTGTTTTACTAGTGAAGAAGGAAGAAACTTAGTGTATCAATCAGTGTCCTATGGGTCAAAGGTCTGAACAGGAGATCTACAAAAAATGGAAACCTGAAAGGCTACTAACTATATGAAAATAAGTGCTCAGACTCTCCAGTAATCAGAGAAACACAAATTAAAACAAAAAGCTGCATGTTGTCTCTCTAGAACTGGTAAATGTGGGAAGTTGAATAATAACAATTGTCTAAAGGCTATTAAGAAACAGGACTTACCTGATCAGAGCAGGGTCTGCTACAGCTATCCAAGAAAATAAGGCAGCAGTCAGAGGTGGCTTACAATGATGCCTTGATCCAGTGGTCTCACTCTTGGGCTTATGTGGTAGGGAAATGTGTAACTCAAGTCCATGACACAAAAGGAAAATTTTAATTTGAGCACCATTTCAAGCAGCTTGAGGCAACTTGCGTGCTCATCACTAGAGAAATGTGTAAGAAAGGGTGTTATGATTTGCTCACTATGGAATCAGAAGCAATACATTTGAAATAGCTGCAGCAATATAAAAACATGATATTGAGTGAAAAATAAAAGGAAACAGAAGAACAATATCTATCAGTAGATATCTAACAGTATCATTTAGTAAATTAAGATCATAAGAAAAAAAATGTATCTTTTCCAGAGTTACACATCTAGCCAAAGAATAAGTATAAGCAATTTGAACAAGTTTTAAGGAGAGAAGGGGTGATGGAGTGTAAGAGTTAAAAATGAAGAGAAGGAAAATATTGGTAATATAAAAATAAGAGAAGGACATTGCAGAGACTAATAAGGATGTTGGGTATAGTCTGAGGAATATGATTAACTCGACTTTCCATTTGACATTCAAATAACTCTAACCTAAACAAACAAGCAAATAAGAACAGAACAGAATAAAATATGAGGCGCGGAAGCAGGAATGGAAGCAAAGATGGAACAACAACAACAAAGCAGCTAGGCCAAGAGCTGCCAGAAGGGTTTCATAAAGCTGATGATGTCTGAAAGCTGAATAGGAGGCAGGCAGTTGAGAAATGTGAGGATGTAAGGATGAGGGGATGTGAAGGAGGTGCTTTTAAGGTGGGAGACAAGGATAGATGAAAAAGGGCAAGAAGTCGTAACATACAGTGTTGTGTTTGGAGAACAGCATGTAATTGCCTTGAACGTTGAATACTTAGGGAAATTCTGAGATACTTCTGGAAAGATGCAGGGGGGCAAGATTATAAATTTTATGTCAAGGATACAAGTAGGTAGGTAACATAAGGAAATGGGAGTGACAAATAGGAGCAAGATGTAAATTCAAAAGATATTTAAGAGGTAGAGTTGACAGGTCATGTTAGTCATTGGTTGCAGGAAGTGTGGGAGAGGCAGGAGACCAGGAGATGGCTCACAATTTTAACTTGATGGTAATATGATTCACAAAGATGGGTAAAATAGAATATGGAGAACTTTGAAGAAAATATGGTAAATTACATTCTATCAAAATTCCTTTCTTTATTGAACTCTTCAAAGTTTCTCCATGACTTTCTCCATGACTCCAGACCAAATTCCATTTCCTTATATTTTCCTTAAGAAATTTATGACAAGACCTCTGTCAATGAGTTGCTTTAAGATTTCCAGGTGGTTTTATTTAGCTATAATATTTTGAATGAACATCCTTTAGTAGACCTCTTTATACATTTTTATAAAGATAGCTGAAATCTAAATTCCTACCCCATAGTATTCCTGAGACAAGTGTTTCTTCATTGAAAATTTTTATAAATGTATATATATTTTTATAGATATAGATACGTTGCCCTCCAAGGAAACTTGAAAGTCCAACTAATAATGTCCAATAATTTTAACAACTGTGGATGGAGAAATGATTTCCATTGTTCATGTCAGCATTTTTTTTTTTCTCAGTCTAGGTTATATTCGTCTTTGGGTGACTTGGGTTGTCTCAAGGTGCCTTAGGATGATGACTTAGGACTAAGATAGTAGGTCTTGGAATGACTAAACTACTTCTTGTATCCCAACTAATGACAGTATGTTTGCATTTTTAAATTGTGTTGTTGCATATCTTTTCATATGTTAAAAGTTAACATTTAATTTGCCTTTGCTTTGACTAGTATGTCAGTGTTCTAGACTGTTAGTCTTTTAATCTTTCCTCGTTTCTTTTCAAAGTTTTTTATATTAAAGAAATTAGCTAACTTTTTATTGTGTGCTTTACAAATATTGTTTCCCAATTTTTATTTTTACTTTTTTTCTGCAAAAATCTCAAATAATTACTGTAGTGCTTACATATATTTTTCTTATGGCTTATGATTTTTGGGTCTTATTTATTAAGGCCAAATTCCTCCTAAGTTACTGGCTTTTTAAAAATGCTTTAAGATAACTTGCTTTCTAAGCAAAATAACCCATTTGGTTTAAATGCTATTTGTACTATAAAGGCACTGAGCAAATTATCTTCCATGTGCATTTCAAGGGAAGACTACTGGCCCATATGTATTTCTTTGTAATTAGTGGGACCTGAATGAACAGAGATTACTGAATTTCAAAAAGCTAACAAATAACTTCTCAATGATGCTTACTTTCTGATACAGACAACCGTCATTCATTTTTTGTCAACTTGGGCTACTTTTTCCTTCAGAAGTCGTGCTCCCAGAAATGTGTCATAGCTTATTTGATGAATTCTCAACTTTCTTTCCTGTGTCCCTTATGAAAGATCACTCAGTTGTCACCAGGCTTTGGCGATATTATCTGAAAAATGTTTAGCATGTGTTTACTTAAACACAACTTGGTTGAGCAGCAGAAAGTAAATGGGGGTTTAATAGTTACTTCCTTACCACCCGATTGCTGCCACCAGAGCACATGCCTCTCACAGGCAGGAACCTTGTCTTAATCATCACGGAATACCCAGAGTAGATCACAGTGCCTAATCCAGAGTTGTTTAATAGGTTTATGAGGACAAAATGAATGAGTGAATGATTGAACAGTCTCTAGTCTCTACCATTGACTTGATATGTGACCTTATATAAATTACTTAATCTTTCTGGGCTTCAAATTCTCATTCTGCCAAACAAATATAAATTCTAGCCTGACAGTACCAAAGATTTGGCAGGAAGATAAGTAAGATAATAGATTTGGTAGTGATTTGAAAAAAATTTTCATAAAATTGATGTAATCATGTCAATATGCATTTAGTAAATAACTTCTTTTGCAGGCTGTGGAATATTTCTAACTACATGGAATGTGCTAATTATTTGACACTAACTGCAAGTGTAACATGGAGATCAGAAAAAAATAACTCATTGAGGGGAATGTATTGGCTAATAAAGTATCATTATTATTACCTTGCCTTTATTATTATAATTATCAGTATTATTATGAAAAAGACTAAAGCAACCAGGCAGAAGGATTCTATTGACTATAAAAGTCACACACTTCTTATGCTTTCTCCCATAATTTTGTTCTCCTATTGGTTTATTAATTTTTATGTCTTTACCAGAAACCCCATGATGCTTTGGAAAGTTTGTATATAATTTTGGTTTATTTAGTTCAATTCATTAATATTATGCTCAGTTAAATTGATTGATGATAGATCAATAGATCGATCGATAGATACTCAGTTCTAGATATGGACACATTCAAAATGTCATCAGACTTCAAATACATTCCCAGCCTGGAAGGATCGTTTGAATCTTCCATTTAAAGTCTTTGCTTTTTATATGGGGAATTTGGGCAGGTAGACACAATAAACATGTAAGGGAAAGAGGGAAGATTTTGGAGAAAAAATGTGGTTCAAAAGAAAGAAATTTGATATATTTTAAAGCAATGTTTATATTATGTATTTGTTCATTTTATTCTATTTCCCTGCAGGTTTTAAATGTGTATTTGGCTACTTGGCTACTGATTAGAGAACACAAAATGAATAACTCAACAAACTCCTCTAACAATGGCCTGGCTCTGACCAGTCCTTATAAGACATTCGAAGTGGTTTTTATTGTCCTTGTGGCTGGATCCCTCAGTTTGGTGACCATTATTGGGAACATTCTGGTCATGGTCTCTATTAAAGTCAACCGCCACCTCCAGACTGTCAACAATTACTTTTTGTTCAGCTTGGCCTGTGCTGACCTCATCATTGGTGTTTTCTCCATGAACTTGTACACCCTTTACACTGTGATTGGCTACTGGCCTTTGGGACCTGTGGTGTGTGACCTTTGGCTAGCCCTGGACTATGTGGTCAGCAATGCCTCAGTAATGAATCTGCTCATCATCAGCTTTGACAGGTACTTCTGTGTCACAAAACCGCTCACCTACCCTGTCAAGCGGACCACAAAAATGGCAGGTATGATGATTGCAGCTGCGTGGGTGCTGTCCTTCATCCTCTGGGCCCCAGCCATTCTCTTCTGGCAGTTCATCGTAGGGGTGAGAACTGTGGAGGATGGGGAATGCTACATTCAGTTTTTTTCCAACGCTGCTGTTACCTTTGGCACTGCCATTGCAGCCTTCTACTTGCCTGTGATCATCATGACTGTGTTATACTGGCACATATCCCGAGCCAGTAAGAGCAGGATAAAGAAGGACAAGAAGGAGCCTGTGGCCAACCAAGATCCAGTTTCTCCAAGTCTGGTACAAGGAAAGATAGTGAAGCCAAACAACAACAATGTGCCTGGCAGTGATGACGGCCTGGAGCACAACAAAATCCAGAATGGCAAAGCTCCCAGAGATGCTGTGACTGAAAACTGTGTCCAGGGAGAGGAGAAGGAGAGCTCCAATGATTCCACCTCAGTCAGTGCTGTCGCCTCTAATATGAGAGATGATGAAATAACCCAGGATGAAAACACAGTTTCCACTTCCCTGGGCCATTCCAAAGATGAGAACTCAAAGCAAACATGCATCAAAATTGTCACTAAGACCCAAAAAGGTGACTCATGTACCCCCACTAATACCACCGTGGAGCTAGTTGGTTCTTCAGGTCAGAATGGAGAAGAAAAACAGAACATTGTTGCTCGCAAGATTGTGAAGATGACCAAGCAGCCTGCAAAAAAGAAGCCTCCTCCCTCTCGGGAAAAGAAAGTGACCAGGACGATCTTGGCTATTCTGTTGGCTTTCATCATCACGTGGGCCCCATACAATGTCATGGTGCTCATTAACACCTTCTGTGCACCCTGCATCCCCAACACAGTGTGGACAATTGGTTACTGGCTCTGTTACATCAACAGCACTATCAACCCTGCCTGTTATGCACTTTGTAATGCCACCTTCAAGAAGACCTTTAAGCACCTTCTCATGTGTCATTATAAGAACATAGGCGCTACAAGGTAAAACATCTTGGTAAAGAAGGAAGGTGGCCAAAGGGAGCTTGGGGAAAAGAAGAAGGTTAAAAAAAACTCCTAGTTTTAAAGTCTCTGCCATTGCACTTTATAGTCTTATTATGGAATGTGCAATTAAGGAGCCCAGCAGTGACACTCTTACCGTGCCTACGCTCCAGTTTGAGAAACTTGCATCTTATAAACTCTGTCAGTTTAGGAGCAATGAGGCCATAAAAGAGATATGTTGGAATTGTGGATTTAAGGAATGATCTACGTTTTCCTGTACTCTCTTGAAGAAGGGCTTCTGAATCTATAATTTTATCTCTGCACAAAAAGAATAATAACCTCGCTCCTTTTAAAAAAAATTTTTTGTTCCCATGTGTCCATATGAGGATGAAATGCCACAGTTACAAACTAACCTGGAGACTTAAACATAAAGAAAGCCATTAGACAACGGGGAAGTGAAGAAAGAAGATCAAAAAAGGATGTAGAAATGACCTCCAAAGTGTTAAGCATATATTATTCTTTCATTATGGTTTTGTGTAGAGAATTGCAACATAATAAATGCTTATCTTTTTTACCTTTCCCTTTTCCCCATCAAAATAGAGCAAACAAAAACAAACAAAAAAAAGCTAGATCACATCATTATTTTCTCATTATGACATTGGTTTCTGTACTTCCCCGTTTTACACTGTGTGAGGGCGAAATCTGCAGGGCTTTCACTAAAAACAACCAGAGACACAAGAAAGGGGGCATTTCCCCCCTGCCCACCACGTCCTTTGCATTCTTTAGGGGTGTAAAATCCTATATGGATTTAGTTCACTTACAATCCTTCATGGGATTGTTTTTAGCCAATCTTGTTTTCTACTAAACTAGCCTCTTATTTTAATGGAATAGCTACCTAATTTATAAACATATGAGAAACCAAAGTCATTTTTTAAATTAAATTTTCATCAAATTAAATAATAGTCATTCTAGTTGGAGAAAGTTTACTCAGGCCAGGTGAATTTTGAGATAAGAAAACAGAAGGTTGAAAGGGCATCCTGTTTCAACCTGAATCTGCCTGACCCATGTATGAAATGCTAACTTGTAAAACATGAACTCCTGGCCTTTGTCAGCAGGGAGAAGATGCTGCTTTATTCATCTGGAATCTTAAATAGGATTAACATACTGACGGGGCACCAGTGACGTCTGGGTCAGTCCCAAGAGAATAAGACCTTCTCTTCAGTGCTGGCTAGAGGATGATGTTCAATTCATAGTCAAGTAAGGTTTATAACCATTCTATGACCTATGGAGGGAAAAAAAAAATTTCAAAAACATTTACTGAAACCACATGTTTCGTATTCCCCAAATCGTCAATCCTCCCTAAAATTTTTTAACTTTTAAGTTCCAATCTTTATGACAGAAGTGTAATGGATAACTAAACAGGCCAGTTGAACTCAGCAGAATCTGAAAGAATATAGTGGTGTTCCCTGTACCACTTCTCATTATTTCTTTATAAGTCATAGAAAAGTTGTATCAGGAACCATTACCCAATAGTGGCTTCATATAGAATCTTGTCTATGTAGAGACTTTTTAATTGTACCTCAAATAAATATGCAACTATATTGATTCCCATTTAGTTATTTTTATCCCTCAACTTTTTTTCCTTACTGTATTTGCTGTAGTCTTCCAATCAGATTTTCTAAAGATGATCCAATCAATAGAAATCAGATTTTAAAACCCTTTTCAAGCTTCATGTTTTGCACTGTAGATTATGGGCTTTATGGGATCTTGACCAGGAATATCCGTGTGCTTTGCACAATGAATTTGTCAATATTGAGACTTAGCACTTTATAGCTATTTTGTGCGACTTGCCTCACTGATGGCATCTCAACAATTCTGAGAGCTAATAAATAAAGCACAAGGTATATAACAACAAAAAAAGGACAATTGTAAGAAGCTAATTGCCAACAATATTTGTATGTAACTTATCCTTTATAAAAATACCTTTATGTTTCGATAACTTCAATCGTTCCCCTAACCAAATCTTCTATCTATAAGCATATAGCATCAGTCCATATAGATTTGTTTATTCTACCTTTACTCTACAATTACCTTAATGTAAACTTTTGCATTTTAAATCCATATTTATTTTTGTTTCTTCAAGTCAACATATCAGTTGAGTAAAAGGGATATCAAGCCAATGGGCTATTCGGTTTCCTATAAACGAAACAATTGACTGGCTAAATATTCTGCTTATTAACTTGTTGTACTATTAGGGTGTAGATTCAGCTCTAGCTGGGATGAACTCTTTGTAGTCAAGGATTCGGGATTCTGGATTCAGGTCTTTTTTTTGTCTGCTGTAACAATCCAACTGACCGTGAATCAAACTGCCTCTTTCTCTCCATTGCCATTACATCTTTTCCTTCCTTCCTTCTATTCTTGATCCTCACCATATCCACCATAACCTTATTGAAAGAGAAACCATTAAAATTAAAGAAAGGAATTGACCACAGGCTGACACAACATGGAAGCTTTGTTAACCGGAATCAGAAAAATAGAAAGAACACTGAAAATAGTAAATGATTAGAAAGATACTGAAACTGTATGCAAAGGCATGTATTAACTAACTATTGCCGGATTTGTCTATTTCAGTGGCTCTCAACCAGGGACGATTTTTGCCTCCTGGGGGACATTTAACAATGTATGGACACACTTTTGGTTGTCTTAATTCGAGGGAGGGCTATTGTCATCTAGTGACTCGGGGCCGAGGATGCTGCAGAACAGCTAACAATGCCCAGGGTAGACCCCACAGCTAAGAATCATTTGGGTCAGAATGTCAGCAGTGCCAAAGTGATTCTAGAGCTTGCTTTATGTAAGTGGGAAAATAACCCTGTATCAGTATTAGAATATCAATGCAAATTGTTCACCTGTTTGAAGAAGGTAATGCTCACCAGTCATGTATCAGACACACTGTCATCCATAGAGTCTGGTGTATTTGTAATTGACAGATAAGGAACAGAGGACACGTCTACATATCCAAAATCACCAGACCGGGCCCATAGCACATTGTTTCCAGCATCTTAATGTCCAATTATGATTGCCACAGAGTCCAGTCAATTGAAGTTGCAGTAGTTGGCCATTAAAATGGTTGCAGTTGATATGGTCACATTCTATTGGAGCTGCTATTTTTCCTGTCAAAAACATTAAGAGCCTCTTTCAGAAACAATATGATTCATCTCCTTTTATTTTCAGTGGAAAGGTGAATATCTGTCCAGAATTTCTTCTTTCCTCATAGCAATAATGTAAATATCCCAGAGTGGTCTTATAAGAAGAGGAGTTTAAGAATGTGAAAAAGGCAGTTCATTTCTTAAAAAAGGAAATGATTGCCCCGCCATTAATTTAACACCAGCTCCCAAATGGTAGGACAGAGTCATCCATAGAGTAATTCATATAGGATAAACTTTCTGGTTTGAATGTCGAAGCTGGAAGTCCCACATACTCCTGCTCTTTGTCCATTCACTATTGTTTTGATCCTGAATGTCTGACATTGGAGGACATAGGAGTTCAAAATGATGGCAACATATACTTAGAGATGCAATCTACTTTTATTTTCTCCTACTTAGTTCACTGGTAGTTGCCTTTTCCCCAATTTGATAGCATCCCTTTCAACAACCACATCACTGGTGTTGCAAATAGATTAGGGAAGCACCCAAAGCTGGATGAATTGTGCAAAGTGTATTTTCAGCATGTATATACAATACCATGCCTCTCAAATATGCTTCTCTTAAAAGGGTGCACGCTACAGCATGAACTGTGTGCATATTTAATGTATCTTCCTGGAATATGCTGTATGCTTAATATACATATTCTATAAATAAAGTAATAAAATGTATAATAGAAATACATATTTCTGTATGCAAATAAATATATTATACACAAAATCTGAATATGTAATATGGTATATGTTGCTTCAGAGAAAATTAGATTTTACATGCCCAATTTTAAAAGAAAGTAGTATTTGCTTTTGAAGGAAGACATTTAAGAAGAACCAAAACCCTACCTGTATTACTGTTACACTGTTTCATAATCTTTGAAAACATGGTACTGATTTTAAATATCTCTTGGAGGAATCTATTAATAAATCTTTGCTGGTGTCACCCCACATGACAACAATGCTTTTGGCCTCTGTGCTCCTGACAGACTTCTAACCAGAATCTTCCTGGCTGTTTCTGTTCCAACAGCTGTGTTGATCTCACGTCTGATTGCCTGATGAGATCGCAACCAGTTCATTGACATACAGCTTCGCTCTCCTCCAAATTAACTGATTTTTGTGAAATAAAAAATAATCATACTGGGAGGAAAGGATGACCTTCAGAATGTTTTATACTCTGAAAAGCAAGGAAAAATTGTACAAGCACTGTATGTATAAACCACCCTTTTCAGTTTGGGGCAATACAGCATTCCATACATAAGTGCCAAAAAAATTTTAGTGTAGTTTGATATTGTGAGTTTCTCCAAGAAATTATGAAATAGATGATCTGTTTCTGAGGGTCCTACATTTTCTCCATAGCAATTCATGCGCCTGTTGCCCACTTAACTACCCTCCCCCAGAGCATTCCCTTTGGCCCATTAGTACGAGACTTTTACTTAGCGAATGTTGTTATGATATTAGCGATACTGGACATGCAGTCCCAAGACACGCTTGCATTTTAATAGAAAAATCATAAACACTGAACATTTGGAAGATTCCTATTAGTCTTTAGATACCAAGGCATGCAGTGGGAGAGATGCTTTTCAGTGAACTCTAGTTTTCTATGAATTTTATGACATTATCGGATGTCTACCCACTTTGAAATTTTACCTTTTGTGCCACAATCTGCTCTTGGGAACTGCTGTCCCTTATCGGAACCAAAATCACTTCTAGGAAAAAAGTGAAAGAAAAAAGTTGAGTTTTTTATCAATTCTTATTAATTTATTGTTGTTCCAGTGAAATGTTCTCATTTCATATTTTAGAATTTGAATTGCATACTGTGTTGATGAATTGTCAAATGCTATTCTTGACTAGGTGGTTGAAAGTACTGAGACAAGAAAACCATCTGGCCATCACAATGGAAGGATTTTCCACTTTATAACATGTTATCAGTCTTTTTCAACCAAAAATGGAAGAAGCACAATGTGGTAAGTTGTGGAATATAGATAGATATTTATTAAGTAGGTGACATTCTAGAATATCTATTCTTTGGCTTCTTCACACTCACATATTCGCACACACACATGCACACAGTGAATCATGGGAACCTGCAAAGGGAAAAAAAGGTACCCATCGTCTGTATTTGCACCATTTACCCAGCATTCATCTGAATCCTCAAACTATACGTTTACTGAAATGTGGATATGTTTGGAAGTTACACCAAAAGATTTTTTTTTAATAAGTATCCTTTTCAAGTTAGTGTTGGAAGATAAGGGATGATGTTAGTGAATAAACTGCATCTGTGTCCAGAAAGAATTACAGTGGGCTGCAGAGGTGGCTTATCTAAATCTGGATAATAGTTGGACTATTTGTATAAAAAAAAACAAAAGTTACAATTCACTTTACCCTTATTTTCTTCAACATACTAAGTCCTGCTCTCCTTACTGCCTTTGTCTGTAGAGCGAGTCTTTAACCTTTGTGATGCTGTGTCTTTACTCGGACCACATCATTTACATCTCAGCAGTTCTCAAACTTTAGCCTGTGATTGAGTCACTGACAGGCTGCTGGGTCCTATTAGTAGGTCTGAGGTGTGATCTGAGAATCTGTGTTTCTAATAAATTCCCAAGCGACCCCAATGTGGACCATACTTCATAACAACTGACTCTGACAGTCTAATGAAAATTTTTACCAAAGCATTATAATAATCAGCAAGGCATTTATTATTTATGGCAAAAACTTTACATTTAAAACACTATCCACAGCAAAGCAAAGTTTTTCTAAGACATAAATTCTGTTGCTTACTTACAAATAGACTCTTCATATTTTCTGTCTCTTGGGAAACTTTGACTGCCATGATCTTAACATTAGAGTTTAAAAATAACCACAATGATACATTTACTTAAAGATCAATTAGCATATCAGAGTTTAAAGGTAAATACAACAGATGCTTGAATTCTGTGATATCTCCAATAAAAGACACATTAGATATACACTTTATATGATGTACATAGGTCATGTATGCAAACACATTCTTCTCATGAATATGCAGAGTAAATCATCCCCTTATTTCATTGTTTAGAATTAATGGTAATTAATTTGCAATTTAGAAGTAATTCTTCAATCTCGTCTTAATACACATACGCAACCACACTTAGGCACACAAACACACATGCACACTGATAGACATATGCAGATACAAATACACACATGCATATAAACACACAAGTTTCACCTCGTATATCTTGACAGTGTCCAGAGTCATAACCTTTCTACTACTTACAAAAATACTTGAAACTCTGCCAGAGAAGATATTGAACCCTCAGGTCAGCCAAATAGTATTGAAGAAAAAGGTCTACTGTCTCCTCTGTGCTATGGCCAGTAACCTTTCTCATAGTCATTAGGATCATGCTAGTCTTAGCTTTGTGTCTATCACATCCCAACCACCTGAAAGCTATCTCTTCAGTGCGTGCTAGTGAGTACATGGGGTCGTGGTGAGAAAACATGCCTGAAATACGTCATAACTCCAGAAGACCCAACTACAAATACATACTTTCATGATTGGTGCCCTCAAACAGTCTACAACTATACAATATGACGCTTTTAATATCAACGTGACTAGAGAGCTAAGTACAAGAAAAAAATGATAATTTCTCAGCATATATCCTCTGAAACCTCTCAGACATTTTTTTACGTTTATAGCTCTTTTTACCTCTGAATGTTATAAGAACTTAGGAGTGATATTTACTCGGAATATGCAACAGATGGTCAAATAGTCAAAATGTCTGGTATCCTGAAAAATAAGAAAGAATGCAAGTCTCATCTCACAGAAAAAGTAAGATTATCAACCAGATTATTTTTGCTTTTCATGGGATTCTCACTATTTCTGTTTATTAATAAAGAAGTACAGGAGGTCATTCAAAGGCCAGATATTAAAAGGCTGACTAAAGCCATTTTACTTTCTCTCAACCCTACATAGAAGTAATAATCCGAACAACTTTTTTTGCTTAAGCAGAAAAAACAACCATAAGGAATAAAATTAAGAATGAATCAGGAGCAATAAAAATAAGAAATCCCAGTGAAGGGAAAAAATCTTACCCCTAAGCTTTCTCAAAGGAATAGCAATACTTGTTTTAATAGAACTTCTTTTCTTTTTCCAAGTTCTTTGTAAATTTTTTGTATGTTTACTTCCTTCATCCTCCTTTAGTATTTTTGCTAAGGTCTTTACTAACGCTTAGAGATGCTTTGGAAGGCAAACACAAAAACTACTGTTTCCCTAGAGCTTGTTTTTGATTTCTGTTGTAGTCGGCATTGCTACTCCAGAAAGCAAAAAAAGAATTTTTTAAAAACTGCTGATAATGACACATATGCTTTAAATATCAAAATAAAACAACACAGCAAAAATACGGATGAAAGGCTGTAATGGAAAAAAAAAAACTCTGTGTAGACAATGGCTTCCATTTGTAATTACTTCTGAGCAACATGGCACCGATTCCCTCTGTGGTCTTCAGGGCCCTCTCACAGCTGCTTACAAGGTGGTGGACACCGGCCCTCAGTCACCCGGGTAAGAGCTCTGGACATGCCAATGTGCTATTTTAAACAAGGCCCTGTGGGACACGAGCAGGCACGACCATCAGCTGGGAACTTGTCACGATTAAATATTGCACCTAAATCCGGAAGACAAAGGCTGCAAAACCTTTTATGGGCACAAGAGTGTGTGAGAAGCTTCGCACTATCACAAGCTTCAGAGGACTGAGGAAGCACAAAATTATTGAATGTCTCAGAAATGATGAAAAGGGAGCTAAAGCTTATCTTCACTGTCCTCATATCTATAAGAAAGCCAGTTTTAACAGACGCAAGGTCTTCTTTGGCCGTGCACGGGTTAGTTCATGTAACAGGCAGATTAGGATTATGTGGTTCCATTAGCCTGAATGATTCCTAAAAACCTGCCTGGTATCTTTCTTGTTTCCACTGCTTTGCTTTTTCATTTAAGAGTAAGAAATACAGCATTCATTAGCGAGAAATACAGACATGGTGTAGAATCTTAGTCTTTTAAAAATCCTGTAAGACAGTTATTTAAACATATGTGAATTCCAAATCCCACAGTGAGATTATTTAATAAAGGCAATGCACACACTAAAATAATTGAAGATTGTATATTCTTAAAGAAAAAATTTTATAGTCTATAAATTGAGTGTAATTTTGGTAGGTATATTTTTAACCATATATATAGTATTGCTATAAATTACATATATTTATATAGTTCTGTATAATCATTTATATATTACACATTTTATTTATAAAAGGAAAAGAGCATGTTTAAAGAGATGGTAGTAGGAATTTAGTAGAAAATGATTCACAAATATAAGGAGTGAGGCATGCACCAATGGAAAATATTCAACATACCACAGGAGTGTTGGCTTAAGTGTCGATGAGGCATCTGTGCAAAGACGTTCCAACTCCCAAATTCAGCAATGAGGAAACAGTTGTGCCAGATCCCAGAAATAGTTGGAAGAGGATAACAATTACATGCCGTGTCCTTGAATGTGTTCTGGCCAAGCTGTATTCCTAAATGGAGTGTTATACCAGTCAGAAGATTCAACAACAAAATATTTTTTCATATGATTCATCGTGTTTAGAACACACTTGTGGGCATTCTGGAAGTCAGATTCTAGGTACTCCTTGGTACTCTTTAAGAAAAGTCTACCAACTAGTGCAAAGTCCTCACTTGATAAAGTAGTAATTTCAATACAAATTAGT